ACACAGCTTATAAGAAATATCTCTCTCGAGCCGCAGCATGTTGATAATAAATACAAAACAAAAGCCACAAACAAAATTTGAATATCATTTTATTCTCCATTATATAAATGTATTTAGCATATAAAAAGAAACAAAACCAAATAACAACAAAAACAACAATTGTTAAACAAAACAAAAAACCACAAAAAAAAAAAAACCTGTATAAATAATTTAGCAAACACACAAATACTCTGCCTTAAGAAAGTGTCTACAAATGACAACAACAAGAAGAGCTAACATAAGAGACGCTTCACAATTATTAATTACAACCATTCTAAATTTAGTTTTATTTTAATTTGTTTTCTTAATTTTAATTTCTATGTGTTTCCAATTTCTATCGATAAAAAAAAAAACGATAAGAAAATTCGATTCTGGTTTCTGCTTTACTCTGTTTCACTTTTAACTTTAGTTTTCTACTCTGTTTTTTACTGTAACTTTTTCTTGCGCTACTTTGTTGCTTTACTTGGTAAATGGACTAACCCCGCACACGTTCTTTTAGCTTTGGCTCCAGCCGACTAAACTGGTTGAAATGGTTGTGTCAAGCCGTCAGAGCTCGCCCGTCGCTAAATGTTAGTTCTTGTTGTTCGTTGTTCTTGCAGGCGCCACACTCAATACGGATCTCGGTCCCGATTCGGAGGCCCAGATCCATCCCGATCAGCAGGACGACGAACTCGATGGCCAAGACAATGGCGATGAGCACATCGACACCACGCAGCAGTCAGAGGAAGCCACGCCCCCAGTCACTGACAAACTGGAGGCGCAGAAGAAAGCCGACCTGAAGAAGAGCGCCGCAGCGACCGCCGCTGCCGTAATCGCGGCCGGAAACGGCCAACAGAGCGGCGTCGATGCTCCCAAGCCACCAAACACGTCCGTTTGAGCCCAGTGGGAGATCGCTGGGTCAGCTGTGCGCGTTTAGCCCCTGCTCTAAGCAAACAAAACGAAAACCTTAAGATACCTTAAACAAAACAACAAATGAACGCTCTCTATTCCGCTCAGAAATCTCAAAGGCGCACAAAATCAAAAACTAAACTCAAAATCAACATATACAAAAATGGAAATGCAAATAGAAGAAGAAGAACAGCTTATCAACTTAATGCCAAGTATTTTGATAAGCTGCGGCACAATCTGTGTCGCTCTCTCATTCTTAAGTTAAGATTAACAAATCTCGAATCGATCAGGAATCTCGCAACTTTGATAAACCCGTCCGCGCTCAGCATATAGATATATATACTTATCTATATATTTACACACACATTTGTCCACCTTTATCGTAATATATATACATACATATATGTAAATCACAAATTGTATTTTGTAACATAATTTCTCACAATTGTTTTATATGAATTTTTTGCCAGCAATTAATTTATTTTAAGCTCCGACCTGCCAGCATTTTGCATTTTTTTTTTTCTCAAATACACAAATTTTTTACTCCACTTATTAGATAATACAAAAATATATATACATATGTTATAAATAAACCCTGGCTTGAATAATTAGTAGAGACGTACATAAATTATAAATAGTTGTAAATCCTAAACAAATTGGCTAAAACAAAAGCAAACAAAACATAAAACATAAATAATAGTAATTATTATTTGCTCACACATAATTTGCAGTTTGTAGTAATTTGTATAAGCGAACGAAAACAAAGCATCTATATACATTTATTTTTAAAGTTAACAATAAAGTGTGTTTTTATTTAAATAATCAACAAATTGGCTTCATTTGGCTTCTCTCTCTCTCTGTCTCTCTCTCTCTAGAGCTTTTGATGATGGCGGGGCTTTCCTTCTGACCCATTCACACAGCATAAACTCTATTTCTATCAATTAAAATTTCCAAATTATCAATGTGATATATATTTTAATACATTCTTCTTCTCTCATATATTTCCACAGGTAAATCCATTAAGACGCCCACAAACGAAACGTAAGTACCCCAATCAGATCCTCAAAGCAACTGTCAAAATTCAAGTTCAATGTGCAACGGGACCAGGTCATTGCTATATAAAGTCATCAACTCTAACTCTACTTAACTGGACAATCCATCCAACTAACCCATTGTAACGGTATCTGTACTTTGCATCCACTGTTCTTAGATCAATTTTCATTCAGCTTTCTGCATGAATCTTGTTGCATGTGCTTCTTCTTATAGCTATTCGAGCAGCTCATTTTAGTTAATTTGTATATTTCATTTGATTTTTTTTTCATATTAACAATTTATATTAACAAGCGTAGCTACATATGTAGTATTAGTCATCTTCATTATTATCATCATTATTATCATTATCTTTAGGCCAGCTCTTAGTGTTCATATACAAAATTTAGTCAGCGTTTAACCTAAGCACATGCATACACACACACACACACACATACACACATGTACACACATACATATTATAATATACATTCATTATTTCCACTGGCAATTCTTGAACCAGATATTTAAAGCGTAATTTATGTTTATATATAGCCTAAGTAAATATTTAGTCTAAAGCTAAACAAAACTAAATAAATAAATACGGTAATATTTTGTGTGTTTAGAAACATTTTCGAACTCAAACATGTGAAATGCAATTATTTTGATTGTCAGTGGAAAATGCATACACAACAACAACTAAAACCCAACAAACTAAAAATATATTGCAAAAAAAAAAAAAAAAGAAAAGTTGTGTTTAGTCTCATTTTCGTAGCGTGATGCTGTCTCTTGTCTATTTTCAAAATTGAAATCAAATCAAAATCACTTTGCTATACAAATTTCACGCTGCCACACACACACACGCAGACATTCACCCACACCCACACACACACACACTGCTCGCTCGCTCGTTCGCCTCGCCTCGCCTCGTCCACCAAAAAATACTCCCTACTCGTACTAGTTGCAGTCTGTCCATCTCTTCCTCTCTCTCTCGCTCTGCCTCTCTCTCTCTCTCTCTCTTTCTACCACTATTCACTGTGCCGTTCCGCAAAAAAACAACAACAACAACAATTTAATATGCATATACTAAAACGTCAAGTCGCTGTCCAAGCCATATCCAAACAAAAAACCAAAAAAAAAAAAACCAAGAGCAAACAAAATCAACAACTGAAATTGTCCATTTCGCAAATGCATCTCAAATACAACAAGAACAGCAACAACAACACCATTTCCCATTGTACTTATTTTATGTACTTTCATATGGACAAACAACATAACATCCACCAAAAACTAAACTGTCCAAATAAATTCAAAACTGTCAAAAATTTGTTGTTCTGCCCCAAAAATGAAAACATTGAACCCGCTGAACCACACAACCACTCAACCACACCAAACATTCGCGGACTCCATTTGCAGCGAGAAGCAGCTCGATTCCGGCAATGCAGCGCATCATGGCCAGAATGTGGCGCTGCTGGAGACGCCCAACGGCATCACGCTTCTGGGCGCCAGTAAAACGCGCGAGGCGAATGGCAATGGCAATGGC